TGACAGACAGTGAAAGCAAGAAAGATCACAAAAGGAGAGGAAGAAGCAGACTCGCCTCCGAGCGGAGAGCCGATGCGGGACTCGAACCCAGGACCCTGGGATCAGGACCTGAGCCGAAAGCAGGCACTTAACCAGCTGAGCCACCCAGGCACCCCCTAGATCTTTTAAAAAACTTAAAAAATATAGTATTTGGCATGTACTCACAAGTTTACCCTTTAGTAATCTCCATTCCTTCCTGAAGACCTGGATTTTTATCTGAGATAATTTTCCTTCAGCCAAAGAAATTCATTGGCATCTGAATATTGCTTTTAATGAATTCTCTCAGGTTTTGATTTTCTGAAATATCTCAATATATATTGCTTTTCACTTTTAAATATGTTTTGGTGCACACAGGATTCTTGGTTGTCAAATTGAGGGGTTTATTTTTATAGCACTGAAGATTGAATTGTCTTCCTGGCTGCCATTTTTTCTGATGAGAAGTCATCTGTAATTCTTTTTACTATTTCCCTAATGGACTGTCTTGTTATTTTTGCTTTCCATCCTTTGTTTTCAGTAGTTTGACTAGGTGTGATCGCCTCTGTGTTTACCCTCTCTGGAGTTCGCTAAGTTTTTTGGATTTCAGGGTTGATGTCTTTCCTCAATTTGGAAAAATATGGCTGCTATCTCTTCAGATAATTCTTCTGCTCCATTCTTTCCTCTCCTTCTAAGACTCCAATTACGTATGCATCAGATCAGTGATTCTCAAAGTGAAATGTGGTATAGGGATTCTGGAATTCTAAAGACCCTTTTAGGAGATCCACAGGATAATTTTTTTTTTTTTTAAGAATACTCTCATAGGTCTCCAATGTAGTTTTCTAGAATCTATATGATGTGTGATATCACAAAAGATTGAATGCTGAAGCAGGTAAGAGGATCTAGCTGTCTTCTATTACATTAAAGAGATTTGAAAAAAAAGAATGTCAGTGCTACTCTTCTCACTACTTTTGTTTTGGAAAATACAGGATTCTTATTCCATTTTTAAAATGTCATTTATACATTTACATAAAATGTGGTATGGGTTGTGTGCTCCCCAAAATTCATACATTGAGGCCTTAATGCCTGGTATGTGAGAATGTGACCTTACTTAGAGATAAGGTCTTCACAGAGACATTCAAATTAAAATGAAGCCAGTTAAGCATCCCACTTTTGATTTCAGTTCAGTCATGATCTCGGGGTCATGGGATCAAGCCCCATGCTGGGCTCCTCGTTTGGTGGGGAGTCTGCTGAAGATTCTCTGTCTCCCTCGCCCTCTCTCAAATAAATAAATCTTTTTAAAAAATAAAATATAATGAATGAGGTTTTTAGGGTGGGCCCAATCCAATATTACTAGTGTCCTTATAGGAAAGGGGAAATTTGAAGACACACACACACACAGAAAGCATGCCATGTGAAGATGAAGGCAGGGACTGGAGTGATGCTTCTATAAGCCAAGAAATGAGAAAGATTGAAGCAAACCACCAGAAGCTATGGGAGAGTCATTGAACAGATTCTTCCTTCTAATCCTCAGAAGGAACAAGCCCTGCTGACACCTTGATCTCAGATTTCTAGCCTCCAGAACAATGAGGAAATATATTTCTGTTGTTTAAGCCACTTAGTTTATGGTATTTTGCTACAGCAGTGCTGGGAAACTAATGCAATATGTATTTGGCTTACTGTTATTTTATTAATAAATGTTTCTAAAATTCCTCAGTTTTAATTTAAACACAGTAAATATAGATAGATATGACTCACATAAGCAAAAACCCTTTAGGGTTCTCAGTAATTTTAAGAGCATAAAGGGCTCCTAAGACCAAAAAGTTGAAGAGCTATTGTGTTGGACCATGATCACACTGTCCCACAAATTTCAGATGATTTGTTCTTCTTTCTTTCTTTTTTATTCCCACTTGAGTTTTTCTCTGTATTTTAGTTAGGATAATTTCTACTGACCCATTTTCATCAATGAATTTTTCAATTTGGTTCTTTTTAAAAATCTGTTCCTCTGCTGAGGTTCTTCATCCACTTATTTGACCTATATTTTCTTGTAAATTCTTTCACATAATTATAATAGTTTTGTTAAACACTTAGTTAATTCCTTCATCTGAGTCCCCTGTGGGTTTCTTTACATAGACATTTTTTTCTTGACTATGGGTCACACTTTCCCACTTTTTTGCATGTCTAGTAATTTTTTATTTATTTTATATTGGCCACTGGATGATGGTGTGAAAGGATTCTGGATTCTGTTATCTTCCTTTAAAGAGTGTTGAGTTTCATTCAGGCAGGCAGTTAAGTTGTTCACAATAATCCTGTGAGATCTTGGTTTTAGGCTGTCTTAAGGTAGGTCTATTTTAGTTTTGCCCTTAGTCCTAGGACATAGTCCTTAACATTGGGCTATATCTTTACCACTAAGGCCTGCACCTTCTGGGATTCCAATGGAAAGCTCTGGGTATTTAATAAACCCCTTGGTGAGAGTTACCAAACTCTGTTGAACTCTCCACTCAGCTTTTTAGCCTTCCAAATGATGCTTAGAGGAAAGCATTCTTGGAGTTGTGTGCAGTTTAGGAGTCACTCAAGAATTTAAGGGGAATTTTTATGCAGATTTTGAGGCTTATCCCTATTTGGCTATCTCCAAATTCCTGGATTTTTTCCTCTCAATTTAGAACCATTCTGAAAGCCTGAAACTCTGGCCTCTGTATCATCAGCCCATTATCTTCTTGAGATCTATTCCTCTGTGCAAGTTTATAACTATTATTGGCAAGAGGATTAGTCTGATACAAGCTACCTGTACAGGTACTTGGAACAGGTATTTAGGTTATAACACCAAACAATAATGTAATAAGACATTACATTAATGTCTTTAATGTGTTTTGGTCTTTAAAATCTTCCAATTTTAAGTGCTTTTTATTTTTTTTATTGAGGTATAATTGACAGACAATATTATATTAGTTCCAGGCACGTAATATATTAAGTTGACATTTGTACACATTGTGAGCTTTTTACTTTTAAAATGGTATATATGGGGCGCCTGGGTGGCTCCATCGTTAAGCGTCTGCCTTCGGCTCAGGTTGTGATCCCAGGGTCCTGGGATCGAGCACCGCATTGGGCTCCCTGCTCAGCAAGAAGCCTGCTTCTCCCTCTCCCACTCCCCCTGCTTGTGTTCCCTCTCTCGCTGTGTCTCTCTCTGTCAAATAAATAAAATCTTTTAAAAAAATAAAATAAAATGGTATATATACCCATATTTCTCTGGAACTCCACTTGGCCCTGCTAATCAGCCCTCAGGATTTTACATGGATGACCCTAAGGAGTCAGAAAGTAACCTAGGACATCTCTTTACCTAGTGAGAGTCTTATACTACCTATTCTCAGTTAAACGCCTTTCACAGCTCCAGAATTCTACAGTTAGTATTAGGGCAATAACTGTACCCTCCCATCCACTTCCTTATATTAGGCTGGACACATCCCTCTAGCTACTGTCTTGTTACTTTTCAGGACTGGTAGGCAGAGAGATGGGTGGACAGAGCACTCAATATATAGAGTTCCTGGGATTGTACTGATTTACATACAGTCACACGACCAGATCCATGACATCAATATGTACACAAGGGCACAGATTCACAAAGATGCACACACTGATGAGCACTGTGGGTACACACAAACACACTGAGTGACATACAGGGGAACATATACAACACACACACACAGTCATACTGAACCTGTGATACCCACCCAGACACAAACCAGAATTGTGAGAGAACAGCTACACACACACAGGTTTACAGATTCACCTGCACAAGACATGTACACACTGCCACACACAGACTGAAACAAACTCACCCAGATCTGTAAGACCCATAGAGACACAAATGCATACACAGGTTCACCCACACACAAGGACTCACATATTAACCAGCCCTGTAACGCAACAGCCACCCACCACTATAATCACAGATTCACAACCAGATTTGTGAGATTCAGGTGCACACAGTCCCACACCCACCCAGGTTCCTGCCCTGGGGTTGCTATTGAATGCTGTTCCTGCACTGGGCACAGCTCACTGGTATCAAGTGAGAGCCTATGGCCAAGCCTACCTGGAGTCAAGGTGGGGGTCTGAAAAGTTTCCAGTCTCCATCCCCTCTGCCCCACCTCAAACTAGCCCTCAGTAGGAAGCTGTTAATGAACTTTCTTCTGGAGTTACTCACCTGGGTTCAAAGCCTGGCTCCACCTTCTCCTGGCTTTGTGACCTGGGACGCTGTGCCAAATTTTCTCCATCTCTAAAACAAAGGTAATAATAGTTACCAAACTTCACTGAGCTGTTGTGAATGTTCTCCCAGAAAATACATGTTAAGCCCTTTCCAGGCAGGAAACGTTCCTAGCGTGTGGCTGGTGCTCAATAAATACTGGCGTCATCACTGTGTTAAAAGTCAGAGCACTGGGCCAGAGCTGCGCCACAGCCCAGACCCTCCTTCCCAAGCTCCTGAGGGTGGGCAGCCACCAGGCCTGACAACTAGGCTGGAGCGCTCCCTCCTCCGGGGTCCCAGGTGCACGCCCACCACCTCTAGGGTCCCTAAGGCTAAAAGGCCTGAGTCTTTTTGCAAAGATGAATGTGGGTCGGAGCCCACCCGACACCACCTGAAGACATGGACGAACTGACAAGATAATTCCACGTTTCTGGGCACCGCTCTCTCCCACCCTCAATGAGACAGAAACACCGCCCCACATAAACACACACTCACTGAGACACAAGCGCCTTTCGCAGCAATGGGTGGGAAGGAGAGTGGGGCGGGGCCAGAGCCCTCGGTCACTGTGCCGGGAACTACATTTCCCAGAAGGCTCTGCCATAAGCCTGTTTGCGTCAGGGCGCAAGGGCTTCTCCGGGACCCCGACGCCCTCTGGGAAATGGAGTCCGCGCCAGCGCGACGCAAAGGCTACCGGGAGTTGTAGTTCGCGCCCGTCCGCGCAGGCGCACTTTCCCGCAGCGGTCGCCGGGTTGCTCCTTTGTGGCAGTCGGTGGGCTTTTGTGGGAGGCCGGTCCTCTTGCTCGCGCATCCTTCCGAGCGTCGGTCGGTCTGTCCGTCCGCCGCGGGGCCTGTCTGCCGGACGCGCTCTGCGGCCGATAGCTCCTGACGGCTGAGCCTGAGGCCGGCCCTGGTCCCGGCCCGCAGTGTCCCGGGCGGAGTGTGTGACGGGCTGCGTGGGGCGGGGGTGATGGGGCGTGAGCGCAGCCTGGGGTGTGAGGCGTTTGCTGAGCCTGCCTGACCCCGACCTTGGTGGGAGGGGGGTCCGCAGGGGGCTTCGCGTGCGTGACCGTGCAGCGGGGAGTGCGTGTGCGACCCCCCGGGGCTCCCCTGCAGGCTGTCCCTGAGCCCCAGGAGCAGGACCCGCGCCTCTGGGCCTGGCTTGGGGCCCAGGAGGCTGCAGAGCTGCCCACGCCTCCGGGGAACGCTGCCGAGGGGCGCCATGGAGACCCCTGCCCCGAAGCCCCAGGAGACAGGTACAGTTGGCTCTTCTAGTCAGTGGGTCTGTGGACTTGCGCTTGAGGAGACTGACACTCAGAAAGGTCAGGCTAGTTTCCCAGAAGCACCTAACCAAGTCAGGCCTCCTGCATCCTTACCGTGCACACCCGTTTGTTTCCACTTCTCAGGCATGCTGAAGAGGAAGGGAATGGCAGTTTTTCCTTCAGATTGTGCCAGATATTGGGGCTCGCTCCCCACCTCACCTGCGGGGAACGGTTTCTGACTCCTCTGATCCTCCCCCATGCCAGGGGTAGAGTGGGCTCTAGCTCAGCCATGCACCTGGTAGCTATGGGAAGAACAGCCCCTTTGACTCATTTCTCCTCCCCAGCTCTGCCCTCTCAGGAGCCTGCTCTTACCCTCAAAAAGAATCCAGAGGATAAATTGGGTCAGGGTCTCCCGGAAGCCAGTTCCGAGGTGAGTGGTTGTCTTTTCTTCCTTCTGAACATCTCTTTCTTTATGAAGAGGGTTGGCATTTTTCCCCTGCCCAGGATTTTCAGTCATCCAAAGACACCCCACCCCCAACTTGAGGGCCTGCTCTCCCTTCCTCAGGAAGTTCTGGGCATGGGAACAGCTCCGATTGAAGAGAGTCCAGGTGTGCCCTTGAAATGAGTGCCCCTTGCAGCCTCGTTCAGCCCAGTGGGTGGGTCATTTGCCCAGGACCTGTTTGCGAAACACTATACCAGGAGCTGTTAGGAATGGTTTTAGTGGAACCCGAGCACGTAGATGACAGCTCACATGAGATCACTTCTCCACATGCAGGCCTAGGGGATGGTCCTCTCTCTGTGGGGAGTTTTCTGGGATGGAATCAGGTAGGGGGGTGTGAAAGCACTGAAGGAAGGCTGCGTTGCAGCACCAGGGTAAGAGTGATGGTAGGGGGTGCATCCCTGTGTGCTTTTCCTCTGTGCGGGGATCCTGAAATGGGGCTGTCAAGGAAAAATCTGGAGTTTTAGAGGATCTGGGAGCTCAACAAGGAATTGGCCTTGGGGCCACTTATGCAGCTAAGTAGGGCCCAAATCCCTTCTTTCACAGACTTTGGGTTTTGTTTCTCATTTTGTTCTACCACCTAAACCACCCCCATCCCTCACAGTATTTAAAAGGGTACAGCTGATAAGGAGAGTTTGCAGTAGTGAAAATGTCTGGAGGGTTGAGGGTCCTTTGTGGTTCTGTTAACCTCCCACTTGAAAGGGGTCTGATTACAGAAAAATAGAAATAACTATAAAACATTATGAGATATGCCTAGCTTCTGTAATGTGTTAGAATGCTCTGTCATTCTGTAATAAACTGAAGAGACGTGACAGTCAAATGTAGTACATGATCTTTGACAGGCCACAGATCCAAAAAACTCAATCAAAGGCAGTTTGGGACAATTGAGGAAATTTGAAAATGGATTTATCTTAGATCATATGGTATCAGCATTAAATTTTTTGGGTGCGATGATCTCACTGTAATTGGATAAGAGAATATATTTAGGATATACAAGGTGAAGCCCATGGCGTGAGATGTCATGATGTCTGCAACTTACCTTCAAATGATTCAGCAAAGAGTACATGTGCATGTCTGTGTGTGCTTGTGAGTGACTACCTCAAGGTAGTATCCTTCTTGTGCATAGGTGTTATTCCTAAAAGATCGACTTCTTAGATCCTTGAGTAACTGGTCCTCCTCTCCTGAGTATTCTGCTCGCCTGGCAGTCCCACTCAGACTCACAGTCAAGTGTTTTGCTCTCCCGGGACATCCCACACAATCTGTTCTGATTTCCCCACTAGTTTCATTACCACACATCTGCCTTTGACTCTCCCAGTGGCAATAACCCCCAGACAGGCCTGTGCAAGGCTAAGATCCTTCTGCCCTTGCCAGTTGATACTCCCACACAGAAGCCATGTAGCCTCTGATAGTCCCCTTTCTCCAGCACCACATTCTGACATCTCTGGAGCTTTGTTTCTGCCCATGTTTTTCTTTTCCTCTGCCAACACCATGACCATTATGCTTCATTCCTGCATGCCTCAGTTATGGGCATGTTCTCAGCATGTGTCGTCACCCGCACCTTCTCATCTCCCTGAAATCCAGTGGGTTTTTGGATCACATTTATTGAGGTGTAATTTATATACAGTAAAGTCCTCTGATTTTAAGTAGCGGATTTGATGAGTTTTGGCAAATGTGTACAGTTGTGTGACCAGCACCACAATCATAAGCTAGAATGTTTCCATCACCCAAAAAGTTCCTTCATGCCCCTTTGCCGTCAGTCCTCTCCCCCCGCTCCTTGGCAACCACAGTTTTGCCTCTTTAAGAATTTCTTACGGAAATATATAGTATGTAGTCTTTGGTTTCTTTTTTAAAAGATTTTAAGTAATCTCTACACCCAGTGTGGGGCTCAAACCCACAACCCTGAGATCAAGAGTCACTTGCTGTACTAACTGAACCAGCTAGGTGCCCCACATAGTCTTTGGTTTCTAATTCCACTTAGCATAATGCTTTTGAGTTCATGTCTTTTTGTGAATCAGTAGTTTGTTCCTTTTTATTGCTGAGTAATATACCATTTGTATTAGGTTGCAAGGGCTGCCATAGCAATTTACTGTCTCAATTCTGGAAGTTCAAGATCAGGATGTCAGCTGGTTGGTTTCTTCTGAGGCCTCTCTTCTTGGTTTGTGAAGGTACCTTCCCCCAGTGTCTTCACATGGTCTTTCTCTGTACACGTCTGGCTCCCAAATTTCCTTTTTATTATAAGGATACCAGTCCTATTGGATGATGGCTCACCATAATGACCTCATCTTTTACCTTAATTATCTCGTTAAAGACCCTATCTCCAAATATAGTCATTTTTCTGAGGTATTGCAGGCTAGGGCTTCAACATATGAATTTGGAGGGATCACAACTCAGCACAAAACACCATTGTATGGGTATTTACAATTTGTTCATTAGGGGACATTAGGTTGTTTCCAAGTTTTGGCTATTACAAGTAAACCTATAAACGTTTGAGTACAAATATAGACGTGCTTTAATTTCTCTTGAATGAACATCTGAGAGGAATTGCTGAGTCAGATAGTAAATGTATATTTAATTATCAATTGTATTGGTCATTTCCAAGAGCCATCTTTTGGTTTCATTGATTTTCTCTGTTGCTTTTCTATTCCTATTTCATTTATTTCAGATCCTTATTATTTCTTTACTTATTTTGGTTTCTTAAAGTTGAAACTCAGACATTGATCGGACACCTTTCTTCTTTTCTCATATAGCAGCCAATGCTATAAATTTCCCTCTAAGCACTGCCTTAACCTACACCCCACAAGTTTTATATTGTATTTTCACTTTTATTCGGTTCAAAATAGTTACAGTTTCTGTTGTGATTTCTTCTTCAATCATGTGTTATTTAGGAATGTGTTGTTTAATTTCCAAATATTTGGAGGATCTTTTTCTAGATATCTTTCTATTATAGATTTCTTTTTTTCTTTAAGATTTTATTTATTTATTTGACAGAGAGAGACACAGCGAGAGAGGGAACACAAGCAGGGGGAGTGGGAGAGGAAGAAGCAGGCTACCCGCGGAGCAGGGAGCCTGATGTGGGACTTGATCCCAGGACCCCGGGATCATGACCTGACCCGAAGGCAGACACTTAATGACTGAGCCCCCCAGGTGCCCCTCTATTATAGATTTCTAATTTAATTCTGTTATAGTTAGAGAAGGAACTTTGTATGATTTGAATTTTTTCAAATTTACTAATATTTATTGTATTGCCCAGAATGTGCTTTATCTTGGTAAATGTTCTGTATGCACTTGAAAAGAATGTGCCTTCTGCTTTTGTCAGCTAGAGTGTTCTGTGAATGTCAATTAAGTCCTTAAGTCGAATGATGTGTTAATCAGTTGTTCCGTACCCTTACATATTTTCTGCTTATGTGTTCTATCAATTATTGAGAGAGATGACTGTTGAAATTCCAAGTATAATAGTGGATTTGTCTGTTTTTCTTCAGTCTTATCAAGTTTTTGCTTTATGTATTTTGAAGCTCTGTTAGTAGGAATATGTATGTTTAAGATTGTTGTGAGCTCTTTTTTTTTTTAAGATTTTGTTTATTTATTTGAGAGAGAGAGAGAGAGCACATGAGGGGGGAGGGTCTGAGGGAGAAGCAGACTTCCTGCTGAGCAAGGAGCCCAATATGGGACTCGATCCTGGGACTCCAGGATCATGACCTGAGCTGAAGGCAGTTGCTCAACCAACTGAGCCACCCAGGCACCCAAGATTGTTGTGAGCCCTTAATGAATTGCTGTTGTGGTAATGACCATTACATAATCATGTAATGATTATTGTATAACACCTCTCTTTGTCTCTGATGATGTCCTTTGCTTTGAGATCTGCTTTGTCTAATGTTAATATTGCCACTTCAGCTTTCTTTTGATGAGTATTTGCAGATTATATCTTTTCTCATTCTTCCCCTTTTAATCTACCTTTCTCTTTGTTTTTAAAGTTGGTTTCTATAGCTGATGTATGTATGGTTGGGTCTTAATTTTTAAATTCAATTTGACAGTCTCTAATTTCCAATTGAAGTATTAAGACCATTCACATTTAATGTAATTATTGATATGGCTGGATTTACATCTGCCATTTTGTTATTTGTGTTCTATATGTCTTGTGTTTCTTTTGTTTCTGTTTCTCCCTTAATGCATTCTTTTGAGGTAAACAAATACTGTTTTAGTATACTCTTTTTTTTAAGATTTTTAAAATTTATTTATTTGACAGAGAGAGACACAGCGAGAGAGGGAACACAAGCAGGGGGAGTGGGAGAGGGAGAAGCAGGCTTCCCGCGGAGCAGGGAGCCTGATGCGGGGCTCCATCCCAGGACCCTGGGATCACAACCCGAGCCGAAGGGCAGATGCTTAACGACAGAGCCACCCAGGCACCCCTGATGTAGTATACTCTTAATTTTTCTGATTTTATTAACTTGTTTTTTCCTTTTAGTTACTTTTTTGGATGCTGGAGTGAATTTTACTTTGTTGAGTATTGGCTTTTTTTTGGAATTCCTTAAATATTTCAGGAATTTGTTCTGGGATGCATTGAAATTACTTAGTATCAGTTGGATCCTTTCAAGGCTTGCTCTTTAGGTTTTGTTCAGGTGGGGCCAGAGGGGGCGCCTGAATGGCTCAGTTGGTTAAGTGCCTGCCTTTGCAGGTCAGGGTATGATCCCAGGGTCCTTGGATTGAGCCCCACATTGGGCTCCCTGCTCACAGGGAGCCTGCTTCTCCCTCTGCCTGCCTCTCCCCCTGCTTGTGCTCGCTCTCTCTGTGTGTCAAATAAATATACTCTTAAAAAAAAAAAAAGTGGGGCCAGAGAAGTCTTTAGTCTTGGGCTAATTTTGTCAGACCACTGAAGCTATCCTCTCCTGGGGACTTTACTCAGTGCCCATATAGCAGGAGGACATTCTACTCTGGCCGGTCAGAACATAAACCACTCCCAGCCTTGTGTGAGTTTTAATGATTGTTCTGCCTTCTTCTTTCTGGTGTTTCTTTTCCTGATTTGGGGGTGTTTCTTCCCAGGCACATGCCTGTCAGTCCTCAGTCGGTCTCAAGTGGATCCAGAGATCTGAGTCTGTGAAACTCCCTCTGCTCTGGCAGGTTGCCCTGGAGATTTTAATCTCCTGGACTCCCTAAACTCTGTTCTTCTTCAACTTGGTGAGACCACAGGCTCTGTCTGGGTTCCACCTGCCTGCACTGCCGTCTGGAAACCTTCTGGGTAGGAAGATGGGGTGGTTGTAGGGCTCGTTTTGTTTCCCTTCTCTCAGTGGTCTGTGTTCTGAGCTGCAGCTTGGCCAGTGTCTTGAAATCAATCATTGTTTTATACGTTTTGCCCAGTTTACTAGTTGTTTGAGGTAAGAGGGCAAATCTGGTCCTTTTGTGTCTGGAACAGGAAAGCCAGTTTTGACCAGGCTGCTGCTTCACTCCTCCAGCCCACACTCAGAAGCTGTTGTCCCTCTCTCATGCCTTCCCTCTGTCCATCCTGCTGCACCATACAAGCATCCTCACCCTGGAGTACCTGTCTTCTGACTCTGGCCATAGCGGCACCTCCCACTCCTCCTCCCCTGACGCCAGAGCTCCGGGAGCATGAAGTCTCAGGACACACAGCTCGGCCACCTCAGCTCACTGTACTCCCAAAGCCCAACCCACCCCATTTCTGGGCCCTTAGCCTCTCTGCTGTGGTCTGCCCCTCCTCTAAGGCCTGAGACAGTAGATGTTCCTGTCATGATTCTGGATGCGGCACAGACTGCTCTTTGTTCTCTTCTCATCGGACCAGGGGCAGGGTCTCCAGCCTCCTGGTGTGCCCAGCCAGAGGGGTAGGAGATGGCCAAGCGGGGACTGACAGATGCTGGGTCCTTTCCTTGGGACCCAAGACTGTCATACTTCTACCCCACTTCATTTTCTCCTCAACCGCAGAAGGCCCCAGTGCTCCCAGTCCCTTCCCTAGCTGCAGAAACTGAGGCTCAAGGAAACCAGGTGGCCGGACCAAAATGGTACAACTAATCCCTGCTCTGCTTTGATTTTCCTTCTTCTTGGAAATTTACAGAACCGGTATTTGCTGTGTAACAAAGTTCCACAGCAGAGTCTGTTACTAATCTCCCTTCCCTGCGCCTACAGTCACATTTCCCTGAGGTATCCAGTGTCCTCGGTTTTGACATTTACTCTTCCACATCTCTCCCCTGGTTCACGGACGCAGACCCCAGAGTACACAGACACAGGGCTTCAGCGTGTCATTTTGAAAATGGGATCATACTGTATACATTCCAGTGCTACCCTTTGTTCGAATTGGTGTATAATTCACATACCATAAAATCCACCCTTTGCAAGCGTACAATTCAGTGGTTTTGAGTGCGTTCACGGGGTAGTGCAACTGTCCCCACAGTCCATTTCCTCAGCCCAAAAAGAACCCCTGTGCCCATCAGCAGTCAGTCTAGCTCTCAGCAACCGCTACTTTGTCTTTTTGTCTCTCTATAGTTCCTTATTCTGGGCATTTCACATAAATGGGATCACACAGTATGTAGCCGCCTTCTTCTGGCCTCCTTCCCTTAGCATAACGTACAGCGCCTCTCTTTGGCTGGCTGCATTATTTTCCACAGTCGGCCTGTGTGCATGTACCCTAACTTAGCCAGCTGTCCTAGTGCCGTGGTTGGTTGGTTTGGGGTAAGTACAGTGCCGTGATCCCCAGCCTTGCATTTGCTTCCTTATGTGCAGGAACTTTTGTTTCTGCCATGCGAGGACCCAAAAGGGTATAACAATTCCCACTCCACCAAAAGTGCTTCCTCATGGCCGGGATACCAGGTTTTCATTGGTGCTACTCACTCTGATTAGGGAAAACGCATGACCTTATTTTTGTTTCAATTTATATTTTCCTGACAAATCATTAGTCTTCTCCTAGTCCATTGGGAATTTGCCTTTCTTCCTCCTTGAATGGCTTTTTCTTACTTTTAGAATTTTGAAACATTTAAACAGAATCATTACAACCTTCTATGTACCTACTTTGCAAAATTAATGTCTAAATTTTGTCATATTGGTTCCGAATCATTTTAAAAAATGAAACATTGCAGGTAAAGGCAGGTGCATCCTCCCCCACATCTCCCTTCTCTCCTGCCCTCCTCAGTCTGTGATAGTTTCAGAGGACAGTGACTAACAGCAAACACCATAGGGCACCTGCCATCCACCAGCCCCTCGGATGAGCGCTTCACACATAGTAGTAATTCACTGGATCCTCTCAGTGATGGAATGACACAGGGACTATTAGCAGACAAGGCACCTGAGGCACCCCCGACTCATAGAGCTAGTAAGGGCAAGAGTGGGGAGCCCACATGGGCCACTGAGCTCAGAGTCTGTGCCCTTATCCACCAGACAGCAGACCTAGATGCACATCACACTGGGCATGGTTCTCCTCAGCCTGCTTTTGTAACCACTGCCACACTCTTAAGAGCTCCCCATGGGACAGGTTACTCCACTGTGTTTGTTTCCACTGCTGCACTGTATCCTGTTCTGTATTCATCCCTACCAGTGGGCTGCAGCATGTTTCCAGTGTTTTCTTAGCCACTCTAGGCTGGATAGGAATCTCACAGTGGGCTTTCAGACACAGGGAACACACTCTCTCAGCTTTACTAGAGATAGTAGAATAGGTTTCGCTTTCCAAAATGGATGTCCCCCTTACCCCTGTCCAACGATGTAAGACCATCCCATTTCCCCATGGACCAGCCCACAGTTGGTATTTCCAGGCTTTAAACATTTTGCCTCTCTGCTACATGCGAAATGGTATCTTTCTGTTTTATTTCTCATTTCGGGATGTCTAGTGTGATTGAGTGTCTCTTCATGTGCTTCTTAATCATTTGCCAGTCTTCTGTGAATTTTCTGCTTATACTCTATGCCCATTTTCTTTTTTTCTTTTTTCTTAATGATCTGTTAGTGTTGCCTGCAGAAAACATAAACTTTCAGGGCACTTGGGTGGCTCAGTTGGTTAAGCGTCTGCCTTTGGCTCAGGTCAGGACCCCAGGGTCCTGGGATCGAGCCCCGAGTTGGGCTCCCTGTTCAGCGGGGTGTCTCCTTCTCCCTGCCCCTCTGCCCACTCGTGCTCACTCTCTCAAATCAATAAAATCTTTAAAAAAGGAAAACGTAAACTTTCATAGAGCAAATGTAAATCTTCTCCTCCTGGTTTCTGGGTTTGCTGTCATACCGGCCAGGGACTTATGATCTTGTCTCCCAGAAGCCCCCACACTTAGATCCTTGCCGCACCCGGAGTTGCATTTTGTGTGTGGTATAAAGAGGGGCTTTATCTTTCCTCCTGTTTTATGTTGGTGTTTGTCTTAGCATGGGTTGCCATAACAAAATACCCTGACTTGGCAGCTTCAACTGCAGAAATTGATTTTCTCACAGTTCCAAAGGCAAGAAGTCAGAGATGTATGAGATCAGGGTGCTGGCAGGGTCTGGTTTGCTGCAGCTCTCTACCTGGCTCTCACGGTGCTCTCAGGTGGTCTGTCCTCAGAACACACGGGCTGGGGGTGGGGGGGATCTCTTTTGTCCTCTTCTCGGAGGCCACCAGACTTGTCAGATCAGAGCCCACCTTTATGACCCCACGTAACCTCAGCTACCTCCTAAAGACCCTGTCTCCAAACACAGTCACGTTGGAAGGGAGGGCTTCCACATAGGCATTTCAGGGGGACACAGTTTAGTCTGCAGCAACATTGAGAATTATCTAAAAGTATAAACCACTTTTAGAGCTAAAGGGCAAAGCTCTTGTGACCCCAAAGGATGTCCCCACTCTTCCCGACTGCCTGATAGTCACAAGGCCTCTCAAGTCTTGACATTCCGCACCCCCGTGCCTGACCATGGGTGCTGTTGCAGACCCAGGGTTTCCAGAGAAACCTGGTGACCCCTGGGAGCTTGGCCGCATGCCAGTCACTCCCAGCAAACAGATAGGTGGGAGCCAGGCCTCCCCTGCTTAGTTTATTCTTCGTTCTTATGTCTAATATAATGCCCTGTCTACGATTTAAGCCAGGCTCCCATGGCGCCCGCATCTTTAAAGAGCAAACCACCCTTGCCACCTTAGATCAGCACCCTGATGGGTTTTGAGAGCTTATTTGCTGGCAAGAGGGACCCAAGGTGGGATTGGAGCATGGAGAGCAAGAGGAACATTGGGGATGGCAGCCTAGAGGCTCCAAAGTGGGTGAGGAGCCCCGGTCAGCAGAAGAGCCTGGGGTTCTAAAACAGGAGTGCGTGCAAGTGTCAGTGACCAGGGCTGGGGAGGGTGGGCACAGGTCAGTACATGGGCCCAGGGAGGGCAGGGGAGCAGGGGTCCCGTGGGAAGGTGTGGGACGCAGGCAGGAAGAACTGAGAGTGGCTCCCTTGGTCTCTTGCTGACAGAACTTGCTGATAAGTACAGAGTTTTCTTCCTTAGGGTGTGGTAACGGCTTCCTGTCCAGAGTAGGGTCCTTTTGCGATGGTGAGATTTGAATAGGGCTTCTGGGTTCTCTGTACTATTCTTTCAAGTTCTTAAGTTTGACATTCTTGACCCTGGGAAGCATAGCATCTTACCCAGAACTCACCGCAGCCTCCAGCCCACAGAGGCACCAGCACCCAGGCTGGCCAGGTAGCTTGGCCCTCCCAGTCTAGAAGGCCAGGTCCGCTTGGTGAGTCCCGGCCCCGGCGTGGTGTGTATGTTGGGGCTGTATGATAGACGGGGCCTATAGCACAACCTTCCATACTCAGGAGAAGGTCACTAGAGGTTAACCCTTCATTCCTAAGGTCCTCAATTGACATGTGGCTCCCTTGGAACCATGAACACAGTCCGAATCAGTCCCGTCCTGGGCAAATGAGAATGTGCATGTCATTCCAGGAATCAGTGACTTTCAAGGATGTGGCTGTGGACTTCACCCAGGAGGAGTGGGGCCAGCTAGACTCCCCTCAGAGGGCCTTGTACCGTGACGTGATGCTGGAGAACTACCAGAACCTTCTTTCCCTGGGTAAGACAGCTCCTCGAAGCCCAGTGTACAGTCTGGCCATTCTGACATGCCATAGGTATTACCAAGCCTCCCTTCGGTGCCGGCCCTGGTGCAGGCCCTGCAGGATGTGGGAGATGTGGCCGCTGCACTCACACTGGGGCTGGGCAGTGCATGTAACTGCCAGCATCCTTGCCTGAGGTGGGGCTGGTCCCGGGCTGGAGCCAGAAGAGAGGGAGAGGGTGGACAGGGCCTGGGAGCCCAGCCTGCCCTGGAGCTTTCCGAGGGAGACAGGGCAGGGCCTCGGTACCGATGGGATCCTCAGAGTGCACCCTTGAGTTTGGGTTCTGAGTGTAAGATCCCCCATCCCTGGGGATAACACACACCTTGGGTGCTGGCCCAGACAGCCCCACCCTGGGGAGCCACAGCACGCAGAACCACACATACCACTTCCTCCTTGCAAGCAGGACCCCCAGTCTGTAAGCCAGATGTGATCTCCCACCTGGAACGAGGCGAGGAGCCATGGCAGATGCCCAGAGAAGTCCCTGGAGGGGCTTGTTCAGGTGAGTGGGGGACACAGTGGAAGGATATGCAGACTCCTGCCTCCCAGCACCACCCCCCACCCCGCCTCCTTGTGGTCCTGCTTCCCTTCCTTCCTTCAACACACACAGAGCACCGACGGCGTGTGGGGAAGACTGCTGGAAATACAGTGGTGAGCAAAACAGGCAAAGACATCTGCCTTCAGCTGGCAGGAGACAGAAATCATGTCTATGTCTCGAGAAACATTTCACAAGTGGCACTTGTTGGATGGACGGGGCGGGGAGTATGTGTGGACCTGGGGTCCAGGGCCTCCCTCACCGAGAAGAAGGCATAGTCAGCCTGGGGGTGTGGAGAGGTGGGGGTCACGGTTCGCAGAGCTGACTCCGAGGGGGACGGCCCTGCAGGGACGCGAAGTTGACAAGAGACAAATTTAGCTTTTAAAGGAATATACGTACATCTCAGGGCCAGAGCACACATTTACAGTTGCAAGCATTCTGGAGGAAAGACCAAAGAGAGGCAGTCTGGGGGCATTCTCTTCCCTCCTGGCACCAGGGAAGAATTTAGATATAATTAGCATTCCTGGACTTGTGTTTACCCCGTGTTCATGCCCAGCCCCGACCCGGTTCCAACACACAGCCGTCTCTCAGTCGATGTCTCAATAAGTGAATCATGTCCAACTGCCAGACCCCGTGAGCCCTGCTCCATCCCTCGCCCCCTGGCTCGCCTTAGAGTTCCCTGGTTCCTCCTCCTCCCTGCGGCCCATCTCACCCAAGATGCGAGATGCATGCCCCTTGGCTCTGGCCCTCAGGCCTTTGGGCGCTCTGGCTGTTGGCCTGCCCTCTCTGTGCTTATCCGAGCCCCTGTCCGACCTCAGTCTGGGCTCTAGTGGCACGCCTCTGCCTGCTTACGGAAGATTGCATTTCCCGTTTCTTATAGAAGGGGAGCCCGGGCCTGGGGTGAAGGACAGGTCGTGTCAACAGCAGGGCGTTTACAAGGAAGAGCCTTGCCAAGAGCCGATCACCGAGCCACTGGGGCGGTCTAGGGTCCAGAGCTCCGGTCTGGGCGTCGGGCAGGCCCGCGAGGGCCCCGCGGCTGCTCCCGTGCGGGGTGAGGCTGCGCTGCGGAGGTCAGCACCAGGCGGCAGTGGGCATGTTCCCCCGGAGGGGCACTGGCACGGCCACAAGGCTTTGGAGAAGGATTCCCCCCCTGGGTGCACCCTCTTCACCCCCGAGGCCATTCCTGCCCAAGGAGACCCTCCTGACGGGCCCACCGAGAGCTTCCAGTCTGGCGAGGCGGCCCCCAGGCAGCGGAGCGCAGGCCCAGGGAGAGGCCCCGGCAAGTCCAGCGAGCGCGGCGAACACCCACCCGGGAGCGGGCAGCGGGGCGCCGTGGCCGGGGCTGGCCTCTTCGTGTGTGGTGAGTGCGGGAAGGCCTTCAGGCAGAGCTCGTCCCTGACCCTACACCGGCGGTGGCACGCCCGGGAGAAAGCCTACAAATGCCACGAGTGCGGCAAGGCCTTCACCTGGAGCACCAACCTCATCGAGCACCAGCGCATCCACACCGGGGAGAAGCCGTTCTTCTGCGGCGAGTGTGGGAAGGCCTTCAGCTGCCACTCGTCGCTGAACGTGCATCACCGGATCCACACGGGCGAGCGGCCCTACAAGTGCAGCGCCTGCGAGAAGGCCTTTAGCTGCAGCTCACTGCTCAACATGCACCTGCGTGTGCACACGGGCGAGAAGCCGTACCAGTGCGGCGCGTGCGGCAAGGCCTTCAACCAGAGGACGCACCTGACGCGCCACCAGCGCATCCACACCGGCGAGAAGCCCTACCAGTGCGGCGCGTGTGGCAAGGCCTTCACCTGCCACTCGTCCCTGACGGTGCACGAGAAGATCCACAACGGGGACAAACCGTTCAAGTGCGGCGAGTGCGGCAAGGCCTTCAGCAGCCGCTCGCGCCTCACCCTGCACCAGCGCACCCACACGGGCGAGAAGCCGTTCAAGTGCGGCGCGTGCGGCAAGGCCTTCAGCTGCCACTCCTACCTCGTCGTGCACCAGCGCATCCACAGTGGCGAGAAGCCGTTCAAGTGCAACGAGTGCGGCAAGGCCTTCAGCTCCCACTCCTACCTCGTCGTGCACCAGCGCATCCACACCGGCGAGAAGCCCTTTGACTGCAGCCGCTGCTGGAAGGCCTTCAGCTGCCACTCGTCCCTCATCGTGCACCAGCGCATCCACACCGGGGAGAAGCCCTACAAATGCGGCGAGTGCGGCAAGGCCTTCAGCCAGAATCACTGTCTCATCAAACATCAGAAGACCCACGCTGGGGAGAAGTCATTCAGGTGTAACGAGTGTGGGGAAATGTTTGGCTGGAGTGCCCACCTCACAGAACACCGGAGAAGACACAGCGAGGAGAAGCCCTTTGCCATCCAGTTCAACAAGCACCTGCTGAGCACCTACTACGTGCCAGGCGCCCTGCTAGGCGCAGGGGGCGCGGGCGTGAGCAGCGTGGATCCAGTCGACGCCCTGGACATGGCAAAGCTCCTGTGTGCGGCGCAGCCCTCGGCCAGCAGGACTTCCCCGCTGGGCAGCGAGCCTGGAAATTAGTGCGGTGTGCCCGCCCTCGGCCCTGCTCCTCCCCCAGAAAGCACAGCAGCTCAGACATGCACAGCCTGCCCGTGCCTCCACAGTAGAGACTGGCCCTGCCGCCTGTGCCCATGTCCCACGCGCTGGGACAACTCTCTCAGAGGTCATCACCGCCCCAGTGAGCGCGCCACTGTAGGAGAGGAGCCGAGGGCCATCTGAGGAAGTCCCGTCATCCTGCTTTCCTTAATGGGCTTGCAAGACACTGACACGGGGAATAGGTCTTTCCTGCAGACAGAAAGAAAGTATATCGATCATTGTGTCCTCGGACGGGCTCCTGGCATGATCTCGATCAGGAATTTCCTTTGTACGTGGTTATGTTTAGAATGTTAATGATGATAATAAAAACAAACAGAAGAGTTATGAACAGTATTCCAAGTGAACGTTAAGTATATTCCAGGAGGGGAGAATGATCTTGAATGCTGGGGGTTTAGGAAAAGGCAGATTTCCTGGACTCACCTCACTAAAGCAGCTCTACTGCAGGGTCATCTGGTAGTGACAGCACCTGTGCCTCGGGAGCATGGCCCAGCTTCGGTGCAGCCAGGTCCTGACATGCCAGCATTGGGCCTGGCCATCTAGTCCCCGCTGGGAAATGGCGAGCACACAGGTGGGTGCTCGGCGTCCATCCAGGGTCTGGTGCTGGGATAGATGTGTCTAGAAGCGCACCTTCACCCTGCAGGGCCTCCCTCTGCTCCAGTGAGCTCCGCTCACTAGCTCAGCCCTACGGAAGGAGCCCCTCCATGGAGCCTGTCCCCATGCTCTCTGCAGTGGTGGGCGGGGTTCCTCTGGAATTAATGTTCGTTCCGCTCAGTCCTAAGCAAGTCTAAGCTGCTTTCTTAGTGATAATACTTTACATTTATATAGAGAGCTATAGTTTATGAAATGCTTTTTGGTATACTTTTTAAATTATGGCAGCAAAATAACTACATTTTGGGAAATGTGGAAGTAAGGAAAAAGACCCCCATAATTCCTAATAAATTGCATTCCGCACTTTGATACATTACCTTCTGCTTGTTTCAAAGTGGATTTTTACATTACTGCAAATATAGTGTATATATCATTTTAATCTTTTTTTTCTACCTAGCTGCATAGCAGAATTTTTCCCCACGTAACTGAACTGTCTGGAGTTATAATTCTCAGTGGAGAACATCCAGTAGATGTTCTTTTGTTGGATGTTGAGGTTATTTCCATGTTTTCACTATTATAGATCGTTTCACTGTTACAACCATTCTTCATAGATCATCTTTTTGCATTATACTTCTTTAGCGTTTTCTTAGATTTCTAAAAGTGAAAATTTTGAGATAAAGGAAATGAACAACCTCAGGAATCATTTCTGTATGGTTTTGATGGTGTGTAAAGTCACACCATTTCATTAGGAAGAAATCGTCAGCAATAGTGGTCAGGTAGGAACGTCCCCCACATGGCATCTCCCAGAGACAGAGGACTCCCTGCTCAAAGCTGGGTGTCCAGACAGTCTTCATTCAGGGCACGGTGACCACACAGCGGTGCTCCTGGGCACCTACCACCCCACTGCGTTCCTCCAGAGTGTGCAAGCCGGCCTCCCGTAACATGGTCCCTGGGGTCACATCGTGGCAGCCCACAGTCGCTTATCTGACAAGTAAGAAAAGTCCTATTGTACAGCTGCATTTGTAAAAGACAAATACAGTCTGGGCTTAGTTCATCATTATCAAACTCATTTTTCTCCTTACTTCAAAAGAACTTAAAATGAAAACATCTCTGTGGGGCCCTGGACACAGTGGCTGCTGTCAGCCCTGCCGTGAGTGCTTCTAGGTACTCAGCTGAGTGGCACCTTACGATCACCATACTTTGCACCTTCAATAATTAATGCGGTTGGATATTGAACATGCTTTGATTCTTTTTTTTTTAAAGATTTTATTTATTTGAGAGAGAGAGAATGAGAGATAGAGAGCACGAGAGGGAAGAGGGTCAGAGGGAGAAGCAGACTCCCCGCCGAACAGGGAGCCCATTGCGGGACTCGATCCCGGGACTCCAGGATCATGACCTGAGCCGAAGGCAGTTGCCCAACCAACTGAGCCACCCAGGTGCCCAAACATGCTTTGATTTTTGGTCTTTAATCTTGAAAATAATTTGAGTATACCTTTCCCCCTCTTTTCATTGGAGACTTGATGTCTTTCTTTCATTTACATATAAACTTTTTTTTTCCTGCTTACACAAGCAATATGTATGTGCTGAAGAAATTTGGAAAAATATTCAGGAAATTGTAAGAATGAAAGTACCCCTCAGTATCAGTTCATAGGCCACTGCCAGAGGTGCATTTACTTCTGGTTCTTTTCTGTGCACATATAATATGCCTTTGCTTTTAAGGCAAAACTAGATTCATTCTCTGCATGTTATTTCTATCTTTTTCCATGTAACGTTTTATGGTGAGCATTTTCCACATTACAAAATATTTTTCAGAAACATTATTGATGGCTGTATCTTTCTCTGTCTTCTCATTGTATCAGGATTGGTCTGTTCCTTTATTGTTGAACATCATTATCTGTACCTATAAATAATTCTAGAACATAAATGCCATTTTGCCCTTTGATCATTTCCTCAGAATGAATTCTGAGAAGTGGAGTTCATGGGCAGAGTTCACAAACATTGCAAAACTGTCTCTAGGTCGAACCCAGCACGACATTCTTAATTCTCCCACATGGGCCCCAAGAGCATCCTTTTCCCTGCAGCCTTGCACACACTTGGCTTCATCTCCACTTTTTGTATTTACCATTTTGATACATCAAGAGTGTTACTGGTTCATGTTTTTTGAACTTTTTCTTCTCTTTGTATGAATTGTGTATTCCATACTTTGTTCTTTATACACACACACACACACACACAGCACCTTGGCACATACATTTTTATCTTTGTTACCACATTTTTAATGTACAGAGATGTTCAAATTCTGTGCAATTGAGTCTTTTTGGTCTTTTTCTTTATCTTTTTCCTTAGCCCTTAGAAAGCCCGTTCTTTAAATCCTTTTTTGGTTCCATATTTTGCATTTAACTCTTACATCCATCTGTTTGGGATGCAGGTCCCTGCATCATTCTAGAATGGCATTCTTCACTGTTCCTTAGACCTCTCTTTTCTGTTAGTAGCTTCATAATTCACTTTATATGTAGTAGGACTGACCAGGACAGTATTTTCAGTAGGCTTTTTTAAGGGTTTTTTAAAAATCTGTTCTTCCAGGTAACCCAGGATTCTTTTTCTCAGAGCTCAACCTCTTCTTGCCCCTGCACACCTCATTGGGATTTTGATTAGAATTAACTAGTGTGTGAAGAATTCTGACAGTTCTATATAACATTCAATCTTCGCATCAAGGCACCAGTCATTCAAATCTGCCTCTAACCATCAGAAAAGCCGTATAGTTTTTTCCTTGTAGGTGTTCTTACATATATGTTCAATACATATGTTTATTCTTGAGTTCATTCTAATTTTGTGGGTTTTCTAAGTCGAGCCTTTCTGTTTTATATAGGACAACTATTGATTGTATATATCTTTTTGTATATTTATTTTATATCTAGCAACTTCATTGAATTATTCTAGGTCTCTAACAATTTACTATTTTATTGCACTTTCTAGGTAATCTGTCATATAACCTGGAAATAAAAAGCTTGCCTCTCCTTTTCATATAGACAGCCTTTTATTTTGTTTCTTTTTAAAACCCACGTTGGCTAGCGCTTCCAGAACAGCACTCAGTGTGGGTGGCAGTGGTCATCTGTGGCAGATTCTGTTTGGGGTAGGGGACCAACGTGTGTCACCTCAGAACACTTTGACCTCTAAAGACTCTGTTACAGCCGGGGTGACCACATGGCCCAATTCTGAACAACAAGGCTCAGGTGGAAATCTGCCAAGATTTGGGGAAGGTCTTTGCTTTGTATTCCTCCCCCTCCCCTTCTTCCTGCCTGGAACTTGGATGCAATGCCTGGAGGTATAGTAGCCATCTCGTAACCATGAGATAACTGAGGACAAAAGTCACATGTAGTGAAATGGAAAAATAGAAGGATCCTAGGCCTTGGAAGAAATTTTTGAGCAGCTATTACAGCCACCAGCATTCAACTTTCTGAGTTCTTGTGTGTAAGAAAATAAACAACCTAAGTCCATTTGTCATTCCTCACAGTTGTTTCATTCCTCACTGGCACAGCATCTGGACCTTTATCTTGACTTGAAGGGAGACAGATCTGCTCTTTCACTATTCGGTGAAATGCCAACTGTTGGCCATGACTGCTTGTTTATCACATTAATGAACTATCTTTATAGACCTGATTTGCCAACACTTAAAAAATCAGGACTGGATGCTGATTTTTACCAAACACCTTCTTGGCATACCTCAAAAATGATTATGTGGGTTTCCTACCTTGTTATGAAGATATAATTGGATTTATAAAAAGATTTTTTTAACATTTTGTCTTCTCTGCATTACTAAAATAAACCCCATTCACCAGGGGTGCATTAACATTTACTACACATGAACTCACTTCTCTAGGGCTTTGGGTGCAACAAGCAGAATTGTTCAACAGGGAGCCCAAGATTTCATTCAGGTTTTGCCTGGCAGTGAACAACCTGGGATGGGAATTCCTCCTGCACCCAGCAGGAAGCGTTGCCCCAAATTCAGCTCCTCTCAGTGGCTAGATGCCACTGCTAGGATCGTTCTCCTGCTTGCTCAAAAAAAAAGGTGAAATGGAGGTCGGGGGCCTCCCCGTGAACATGGCATGGTAGCTGGGATGGAACCCATGGTAGCTGGGATGGAACCCATAGAAGATCCCAATTTACAGGGTGTCTGCAAGGAGATGCACCAGATGCTACCAATGTCTAGATGATGAGTTAGGACTGAATCTGAATTGTTAAAACAACAGATACTTATTTTGTAACTGGTACAATGAGCAAAATATAGGGTCCATAGCTCTTCCTATAGCTCTTCTCCAGAATGACACTGTTGTTCCTATCCTGACCAAAGCTGTGATGTGACCAATAGGAGGGAGCCCAGGAGCACACACCTGGTCCCAGCCGAGCCCCCCCACCTTCCAACCTGGGGCTGGCAGCAAGCCTCGCTCCTTGCCAGTCTGCCTCCAGGGAGGCAGTACCAGTGGGAGCCACAGGCGGAGACCACCAGCTAAGAATGAGGGCAGTGGGACAAAAGAGAGTCAGGCTTTGCGCCACCAGGGCACCAGAGGTCCAAGAGACTGTGTGAATCAGGATGGGGGCCGTGGAAGGTGACACGAGACCCCAGGTAGGGTTGTGGTTCAGGTTGCGTTTGGGGGTTTGGGAATAGGGTGGGGGTTGGGGTTAGAATTAGGGTGGGCTATTTTTCATGCCGTGCATACCTTTTAGAGCAAGGAAAAGGATGCCTTGCTCACGCCTATGAGTGCTGGTGCCGACTGAAATTGTACAGCGTGTCCATCAGTCTCACAAGCTCATAGTTACTCATTCGAGGACCACAGATTTGCAGGCCAATCAGCCCATCTCAGCAGAAGTTAGAGTTAATTCGAAGCCAGTATCATTTAGGCACAAAAGCCAACTGGCACCCTTTTGATACTCTAATTGTGTAAATCCTTTCAGTAAAATTTTGAATTTCCAATTGGGTCAAGTCGGAGTTGTTTGTTTCCATTTCAGTTTCCTCCCCTTATGGGATCATTTTGGGGGTGGTTATGGGGTGTTCTCAGGGGAGTCCTCTCCCTAGGGTACACCTTTCTGCAGGGAGTCTAATCAACAGCACCACTCTCAGGGTGCACCCAATGGCAATTATCACTTTATTGGCCCCGGGGTGACTCTGGGAGCAGAGAAGCCCTTTAGCATGTTTATCTGCAGCTGTACCGCAGAGGACTCCTAGTTACTGTGGGTCCATTTGCAGTGATCCCCACTGAGTTATGGTGAGTTGTGTCAGGGTCCCCAGGACCCCCTCAGGCTTGATGATACAAAAGAAGGACTCACGAGGCTCGGAAACAGTTGCGGTTGATTACCGTGGAAGGATACAGATTCAAATGCGCAAAGGAAAAATGCACATGGGGGCAACAACCAGGAGAGGCCAGGCACGCACCCCCCGGTGTCCCCTTGCAGTGGAATTGCACGGGACCATGCTCATCTCCCAGCAACACATGACCACATGGGCAAAGCCTGCCAACTAGGGAAGGACAGCAAGCCTTGGCGGCCAGGGACACACAGCACCCACGGGACTGACTCCAGCTCCTACCTTCCCCTCCGACTCCAGAGCAAAAGCACACGTTCACAATAAATTACATTCTTGAGATAAACTTCTCTAGTCAAACTGGGATACAGAGCCCAAGGCCTCAGGCATACATGAACGCTCTGACCCGCAGAACAGTCTAAGGGCTAAGAGATGATCTGAAGAAAGGCCTTTCTTTGGGATGTGCAGGGTTTGAGCGACCCAGGCCTGCTGAGTCAATGCTTTCCTGCCCAGGTGTCCTCCAGCCCTTTAGGAGGGCCCAGGGGAAAACATGTGGGGCCATTTTCCCTAAGGGTTTGTGCCATGGAATGCCTTGCACATTTTCACCTATTGTGCTAAGAATCAGGATCTCCACACACTAGATACAAAGGCATTTTGGCCTCGAAGTGTCGCAATGAGCCATCTGCTCTTAAGACTGTGGTCCCTAGCCGCAGCAACTTCTTCCTAGAAACATCGCCAAAGGCACGGGAAGCCAGGGCAAAAATGAACTATTGGGATTTCATCAAGATAAAAAGCTTTTGCACAGCAAAAGAAACAGTCCACAAAACCAAAAGACAACCGACAGAATGGGAGAAAATATTTGCAAACGACATATCAGATAAAGGGCTAGTATCCAAAATCTATAAAGAACTTATCAAACTCAACACCCAAAGAACAAATAATCCAATCAAGAAATGGGCAGAAGACATGAACAGACATTTCTCCAAAGAAGACATCCAAAT